GGGAAGACAGCTAGTCATCACCACCCACCACCAACTCTTGGGCTACTCTTTTACCAACGAATAGTGGGATTGACCATCACATTATAATGCCTCCACGGCTGAAAGGGCGAGCATGTTTGGTGTGACGGGGATTTGAACCTGCGACCCTCAGATTGCGAGTCGAGCGCCCTAACCACCTGGCCATGTCGGGCCATATATATGTATATATATATATACTAATAGGCATAAGTTGATTATTATCTGTGAATTACAGATGGGTGTCAATGATGTCTGGGAAAGGTGTCATGTGTCTTTTTCAGCACACTGATTACTGTACTTTCAACTGGATTGTTTGTCATGGCAGATTATTATAAAAGGTATATACAATAAAGTGGTATAATTTTAAATTGCCTTTACTCATGAATTTACAGATATAATTATATTTTAAGCATAAAGTCAAATCACAGATATGGCTATATTATGTCTCAACTTTGCTAATGATGGGGATTATGGATATTCATGACAAGTGAAACGAAGAACAAACAACAACAAAACAGTTCAGAAATTTAGGAAATTCACTGTGATGTTAATATTAACATTTAAGTCATGGTTAAGACTGAAATCAATTAGCCATTAGAGTGGCTTTATAATAACTTATTACAGCTGTGCATGATTCATTAAATCTGAAAACTAAAAGGGTATAATAGCCCTTGTTTCCCAAGCTAAAGAGTGAATATGATTTGGTAGTTCTGCAGTATAAAGTGCTTGACATTCACAGCAGCTCAAAGAACCGAGATATAAGTCTAGAACATTAATAGTTGGTGTGGCTGTTGATGACTGCAAGTCTTTCTTACCACTCAAATAGGCCTCATGGTAGATGGACAATGATGGATGTGAGTTTAGCCATTTTAACTTCTAAGCATAATGAGGAAATATTTGTTTAACTTCCAACTGACTTTATTTAGAGTTTTTAGTATTCAGTCATTTCAAAGTTTTTCTTTCTTGTGTGGTACGACTTGAAACATGGAATGGCAAACATGAGTATCCCACAGTCTTCACAACAAAAACCAATTTCTTTTTTGATATTCTCATATTTGTTACCCTTCTTTGAGGAACTCACTACATATCTTTTGTGTGGGTTCTTTTTTCATCATAGTGACTGGAATAGTCAAGGAAGTGGTAGGCAATTGACAAAACTGGGTCCAAGTCATGACTTTTGTGCACTGGTTGCACAAGTTTAGTAACAGTATTGTACTACTTAATGAGTTGTTTATGCAATGATTGACAACACACTTATAGAATTTTGTATAAAAACATTTTAGTCTCTTTCTACTGCTTTCATAATTACTCCTCATAGTGGTGGATGTTATAGTTACATACAACAGCTGACTTGTCCCTATCTTCTATGTTCATGCTTATTGGTAACCACTGAAACATTATATGCAGTGGTAAACATGCTTTTTATCTTTTCAACTTGTTTTCTCTTTTCAAGTATGACCTCCTCACCATATTTAAGTTGTTTTTTTTATCTCTAATGGGAGATCTTTCATGTTTTTACATTTTGGATTGATTGAGAAAGTCACACACTGGTAAGGTGTAGAAATTGTCAGCAATAAGATAAAAATCCTTTAGGAGATGTTCCAACAAGATTATACAAAGACTGAATAGTATTCTTACCAGAGTAAATAATTATGAACCATGCATAACCAATGAAATTCACACAGCATGAAAAATGTTTTGTTTCAAAAGCATCATCTCTTTAGTATTATATGCTGTTTCTGACCAAGATGGACTTTGTAAAAATATTTAATCAGTGTTGAAACCATAATAGCAGTTGTAAACATTTAGAAACTTTTGAGAAATATAACTGATTACATACCAGATATTGCAAAAGTTTCAAGAAATTTGAGTGTTTCGATTTTTGGTCTTGTTTTCCATAAAGTGGAAACTTGGAAATTAGATGAATCCTTTCTAGAGACACCCTCTGAACACAGGGCTTGAGAATACTTTTTTGATTGTTCATTATATCAAAATTATAGGTTTAGCAACAATTCTTTGCAATAAGTGTTATGTATATTCATATCTCAGAAATACTAATTAGTTTCATATATTTTTATTACGAGTTAGGCTTGAACACAATGACAGAATATGGGACTTATCAGCATCCTTATTTGTTTCTGATGCTATATTTTTGCAAGTTACTCATGTAAAAAACAGTAAAAAAATATTGTAAGTTTGATGAAGTATCTGTGCATTTACACAAGATACACACACACACACACACAAAAGGAATATAGGAGGTGAGGACTTAGGTTCAACAGATTTATATTGCACCACTACCTTGCTACAATGTGTTGATACTATCATTTGAATCTTCTCTACTCCCGAGAGACCTGTACTGCTTTCATTATTATTCCCTGGACATCTTCACTATTTGAAAAATCACTTGGTAAATCATTTTGACTGTCATTATCTACCTAAAAATTTTCATTATTACACTTTCAATTTTGTCATACTACTTTCCTGGATGACTAAATTTCAGTCTGCTACTTTGAGCTTTTTTATTAGACATTAAGCTTTTCACTAGTTATCTAAAAAGATACTGGCACATGAGATAATCTGGAAGATGTTGCTCTCTGTGATCAAAGAAACCAACTAGACAAGCATAATTCATCATTACAAATGAATAACAATGAGAAAAACTCTAAGGCTTGGTTGTAGTTGTCACTGCCATATTTTGCAGAAACACTAATAATGAGTTCAGGTTAATAATGCCATTTAAGAAGTTAAATTATTGAAGTAATTTAAATAATAAATATGGATATATGTATGTTAGAATAAAATGTTTCACTTATTCAACTGGAAAACTTATGAATGATATGTTTTAACAGTACATAGTTTTGCTGTTTATCATTAGTGAAAATATAAATTTAACCTCTTACCTTCAACTACTCCCTTGATTTCTACAATATTTTTATGCTGAAGATTCTTCATTATTTCGGTTTCTCTGCAAAAATCTTTTAAAGCACAGTCGGTCAAGTTACTCCTTTTAATCCGTTTGACAGCAACTAACTCCTTCCTAAGTCCCTCACACTGAGTCAATAGAGCCTTACATACTTCTCCATAAAACCCCTGTATGTATGAAAGGATATTTAACTTACAAATCTATTAAAGTTTTATATCTTCTATGCTCAAAGCACTATTTTTTAATGGTCAGCTTCTGCGCTTACACAGAGAAACTTTTCTATTATCTATTTTGTTTGAAAAAAGTTATAAACCAATCAATGTAAAGCTGTTTCTCAAAATATTAAAGTGTAAACTCAGAATTTCTAGGCACTAGTCCTACAGTTACTTAATTAAAGAGACCTTTTAAAATTGTTCTTAGCTATATTTGAGAGAAAAGCAAAATGCAGCTGACTTGTATATAATTCTCTAGATGCTACAAGGGAATGATGAAAAGCAAAACAATGCAAAAGTGCTACATTATTTCAAAATATATCTTCCAAATTTTACTGCATTCAAACACTGATAAAGTTTACTATTACTAATGTTTTAGTACTAATAGTATAATAATAATAATAACAGTATAGCTAATTAAACTGAATTGGAAATTATGCTAAACTTAAGATCCTACACATTTTTACAGATACTTCTGCTACTTAACCATCATAACAAATCACCAACATCTGGCACATACCTTTTAAATGATTCACTAAAACTTGCTAAAAAATTCTGTATGGATGCAATATTATATAAATATCTCCTACGAACTATCTCCTACAATTAAGACAATGCTCATCATGCTACTGTTTCACTGATGACCAATAATTTGAGGAATGCAGTCTTATGGTGCAACAGATGGCAATGTATATTTATGTGTTACATCTTTGTTCCATTTTTTACTAATATTGTAAATCATCAGGATGGTTGATTCATAACAAGAAAAAGTGAGTATGAATGATGGTGTGTGTGTATACTGCACAAAAATTCAAAATTATACAATGAAAGACATGTGTGTTAATAATTCAAAATATATTTAATGTAGAAAAGTATCTTTCATAGTGCAGTTTGGAATTTTTGTGTAGCATACACATCTCATCATTCATACTCACGTTTTCTTGTATGTTTAAGAATAAGACACTGACTAGTACTCAACCTCAAACCCAATCCTATTCATCTCTATTATCAATTCCAAAAGCATTCTACCTACCATTTTGTGACCTATCACTATGTTTGTATTGGACACTGTGGTTTTTAAATTTTCTTATGTTTTCTAATTATATCATACTATCTGAAAATCTTGAAATGAATAGTCCGTAAACAGCAGGATAATTTTGTTTACTTTTTTCATGAAAACATACAAGCATGAAAGTCTAACCAGTCTCAAAACAACTAATCACATGAGAAAAACTTAAATGGATACAAAATTAAAATATAAACAACTTAATCATGTATTGCTTTTTCCCACAAAAGAGAATAGCTATAAAATCATAAACTGAAGAAAATGTTAAATTAAATATAATCATACTATAATAATAGTAATAACAACTGTTACATTTACATTTAAATAAAAGAAAAAGGAAAGGAAATAAAAATCAATAGGTGACCAAACCTTCAACCATGTTTTAATGGGACTACATGTTAGGAGTATGTAGTACAAAAGAGAAAATGTATGTATGCTGAATCCAATGAACACTGAAATCCACAATAACAGCAATTATAATCCTTTAGCATATCTATTATTCACTATCTTACAAAATATGTCTTAATTTTATGAATAGAGTTCAACTTGCAGAACTATGTTGTTGCTGAAAAACACACTGCCAGGATAACTGAGGAAAATAGGTTATCTAAACACATTACTATTTGCATTTCTACAATTTGTTCTGTTCAAGTGTATACATTACTATATATATGAAATAATTTTAATAGAAATGACAGAACAAAATAAATGAACATAAACTCAGTTATAACAGTCACATCAAATTAGTTATGTCATGTGACATTAACCCACATAGTTTAATTTATAATTAATGTCTTTTAATTCTTTCAACCTGGGCTCGATCCCTGGGAGCGACCTTGTAACCATTTTGTGCTTGTTATCGTTTTCATGCTATACTGTTTAAATCAATAAGCTAATGTTAATGAACTTTGTCAGTTTATCTGTAAACATTACAATGCTTTCATACCCAACATATCTAATATTTTTATTAAGTCTTAAGGTTTGTAAAGC